GGGAGCGCCTGGCCCTGCACGTGCTCAACCTGTGCCCCTTTGTGCCTGAGCACCTGGAGACACGGTCCCTCTACAACAGTGCCCAGCCCGGCCTCGAGCAGGTGGGCACCGGCACCATGGGTGGGTGGGGACATGGGGACGGGCATGCGGACACTGGGGTGACAGGGAACCTGGGGATGGGGTCTCTGGGGTGACAGAGACCCCAGGAGTGGGTGATGGGGACCCTGGCGTGACAGGAACCTCAAGGGTGAGTGATGGGGACACTGACATGACAGAGAACCTGGGGGTGGATGATGGGGACCCTGGGGTGACAGGGACAGATGCACTGGGGTGATAGAACCTCACAATGATGCAGAACTCCAGGCAGGGAGGGATCCAGGGGTGCGGGGATATGATGGGCACCCAGGGGGATGTGACCCACCCTGGGGATGGGTGATGGGGAACTCCAGGGTGACTGAGAGCCTGGGGTGAGGACCCTGGGGTGACAGAGACTCTAGGGGTGGGGAGCCTGGGGTGGCAGGGACCCTAGGGGTGGGTGATGGGGTCCCCCAGGACCAAGGGGTGCCTGAGGTGTCCATTCCCAATCCCCTCGTGCACCATGCAGGGCAAGCTGCAGATGTGGGTTGACATTTTCCCCTCCAACCTCGGACCCCCTGGGCCCCCTGTGAACATCGACCCCCGCAAGGCTGAGAGGTGAGTGGCTCTGGGAGGTTGGGGCGGCTATCCCTTGGCAGATGGGGACACTGCTCTGTTCCCCCCAGGTATGAGCTGCGTTGTGTGGTGTGGAATGTGCGGGACACAGACTTGGGGGACACCAACCTGCTGGGGCAGCGCATGAGTGACATCTATGTGACTGGGTGAGCACAGGGCACACGTGTGTGCCCCCCAAATAGGTCCCCATCACTGTGGGGTCCCTGTCACCCCCCAGCATCTGTCCTTGTCATCCCAGGGTCCCCATCCCCAGACTCTGTCACCTCAGGGTCCCCGTCACCCCATGACCAAGTTCTACATCATCCGAAGGTCCCCATCCCCAGGTTCCCTGTTACCCCAGAGTCTCCACCCCCAGGTTCTCCTGTCATCCCAGTATCCCCATCCCTCACTCTTGGGATCCCTGTCACCCCTATCACCCATCACCAGATTCTCTGTCACCCAGAGTCCCCATCCCTTAGCCCCATGCTCCCTGTCACTCCATCGTCCCCACCCCCAGGTTCTCTCTCCCCCCCCAGGGCCACCATCACTCACCCCCGAGGTCCCTGTCACCCCAGGGTCCCTCTCTCCATGTTCTCTGTCACCCTAGTATTCTCATCACTCACTCCTGGGATTACTGTCACCCTAAGGTCCGCTTCGCACATCCCAGGTTCTCCACCACTCCAAGATCCCCATCCCCAGGTTCCCTGTCACCCCAATGTCCTCACCCCCAGTCCCCCCATGACCCCCAGCTGTGATACCCTGTGCCCAAGTTCTTCCTGTTACCCCAGGGTCCCCTTCACTCACCCCAGGGTCCCCATCCCCAGTTTCCCCGTCACCTCAGGGTCCCCATCACCCACTTGGGGTTCTCTGTCACCCCAGGATCCCCATCACCCACCCCAGTGTCCCCATCCCCAGTCTCTCTGTGACCCTAGGGTCTCTGTCAGCTCAGAGTCCCCATCTCTCTGTCACCCCAGGTTCCCTGTCACCCCAGGGTCCCCATTCCCAGCCTCCCTCTCACGCCAAGGTGCCCATTCTCAGATTCCCTGTCAGCCCAGTATCCCCACCCCCAGTCCCCTGTGCCCCCGGCAGTGCTCTACGTCCCTGCAGGTGGCTGGACGGTCTCCCTGAGCAGCGGCAGCACACAGACATCCACTACCGCTCCCAGGACGGACACGGTGCCTTCAATTGGCGCTTCCTGTTCCCCTTCGAGTTCCTGGCGGCTGAGAAACTCTGTGTCATCGGCCGCAGGGTGGGGGGACACCCTGGGGGGATTGGGGGACAGAGAGACTGGGGAGGGAGGGGGGCATGGGATGACAGAGACCAAAGGAGTGGGTGATGGGGACCTGGGGTGAGAGGGACTCTGGGGTGACAGAGAACCTGGGGATAGCCCTGGGGGGACAGGGACTCGAGAGATGGGTGATGAGGACCCTGGGGTGACAGGGACCCCAGGATTGGGTGATGGGGACCCTGGGGTGACAAAGAACCTGGGAGTGGCCCTGGGAGGACAGGGGCCCTGGGGATGGATGATGGGGACCCTGGGGTGACAGAGGACACTCCCGAGTGTGACAAGCATGACCCCCCTTTCCCCCTCCCCAGGAGCACGTCTGGAGCCTGGACAAGACAGTGCTGAAGGTGCCACCCAAACTCATCCTCCAAGTGTGGGACAATGACAAGTTTAAAGCAGATGATCTTCTGGGTGAGACCCCATTTCCCTGCCCTTGGACTTCCAGAGGGTTGGGGGGCACCCACTGGTGACAGGGAGCACCCACAGATGATGGGAATCATCCACTGGGGATGGGAAGCACCCACTGGGGATGGGGAGCATCCACTGGGGATGAAAAGTATCTGCTGGGGAAGGGGAGCACCTATTGGTGATGGGAAGCTCCCACTGGTGATGGGAACTCTCCCTCCTTGCCTTTCCCCACAGGCGTGCTGGAGCTGGACCTGACCAAGCTGCCCTACCCAGCTCTGACCCCCAGGCTGTGCAGGGGCATGCCCTGGGAGCACCGTAGTGTCCCCTGGCCCTGGTGCAGGACCCCAGCCCTGGCCCCCTCCTCAATCAACCTGTTCCGAATGCGGCGGGCGCGGGGCTGGTGGCCCTGCACGATGCAGGAGGATGGCGCCCAGCGGCTCTCTGTAGGTTGGGAATGTCAGGATAATGGGGGGCAGCCATGATGGAGGAGGGCAGGGACACGCTCTGCATCCCAACTGCCCTCACAATCCCTCCAGGGGAAGCTGGAGCTGAGCTTGGAGCTGCTGACAGCCGAGGAGGCCGAGGAGCGGCCGGTGGGGAAAGGGCGGGAGGAGCCTAATAACTACCCAACGCTGCCGGTGCCCAGGTGAGTTCTGGGAAGGAGCATGGGGATGTGGGGAGGGAGATCAGGGGTGGGGTGTCTGAGCTCCCTGTGATCCACAGGCGCTCCAAGTCCTCGTTCCTGTGGCTGCAATCCCCGCTCCGCCTCCTGCGCTATGGGATCCGCTGGCGCTACTGTGGCTGGGCCGGGCTGGCATTGGTGGCAGTCTTGCTCCTCTTCCTCATGCACATCTTCTTCCCGGTGAGCACCCCCCCGCCAAATACCACCTCTCCTGGCTGGGGACACCCCCTGAGCTCCCCTCTCTCCCTCCTTGCAGAGTTCTATGACTGTTAAGATGGTTGACCAACTCCGTGTCCTGCATCCTGCTGGTGCAGAGCATCCTAAAATGGAGCATCCCCCTGGCAGAGGGGCAATGCCAGCCTGAGGAGCCCAGGAACCCCTCAACTTCCTCCTTCCCTGGCTGCCAACCCCTCCCTGAGCTCCTCTCTCTCTCCTTTTTGGATTATCCCACCATGGAGTGGATTGTCCTGCTCCAGAGGCTACATCCTGATGAGTATTCTAGGAATTAACAGAGTAATGTCCACCAACCGTCAAAGTGTTGTCTCAAACTCTGTGGGCTGGGGGTGAGGGACATGAACGTGGCCCACGGAGCAGATCCACATGGAGGCAACGTTAGGGGACTGTTATGATCAGGTTCTTAAAATTATTAGAGAGGCCTCTGCCAAAATTAAAGTGCAAATGGGACCATGTTGCAGAGTCAACAGGACGGATTTTTATTAACAGTTAATGTGAGGCAGAGAGAGAGAGAAAGAAATAGGAAAAAGAGAGAGAAGTGGAAAGAGAGGGTGAGGGCTTTCTTTCCTGGGTGGAAGGGCAGTCGTTGGCTTGCAGGAGTGCGACGCTGCAAGGGGCCGTCCGAGTGCCAAAATTCAACATGGACAAAGATTTCTCCCAGACCAAAGGTGCCCACCCACAAAGCTCTTGCTGTCCACGTAGTGCAGAAAGTGGCGCACCAACTGCAGGTGAGAGACAGAGGGTGAGGGCTTTCTTTCCTGGGTGGAAGGGCAGTCATTCACATGCAGGAGCGCCACACCGCAAGGGGCTGTCTGAGTGCCAAAATTCAATACGGACGAAGATTCCTCCCAGAGGAATGATCCTGAGTCACCTTCTTACCCAGGTGG